TGACTCATTGCGAGCTTACAGAACAGAGCTGCGTGCAGCTGAGTGAAAATGGAGGCAAACGAAACTTCCGGAGTACCTTTCATTCCCTCTGCTCTACCTTATCTTCCTCTGTATCCGCTGCTAAAGCCATTTTCTACCACTCTAAATGACAAGCTTCTGCCTCTAACCCTAGGAAACTCTTTGCCACCTTCTCCTCCCTCCTTAATCCTCCACCCCTCCCCCTCCCTCTCTGCGGATGACTTTGTCAACCACTTTGAAAAAAAGGTTGACGACATCCGCTACGTATTCACTCAGCCTATTGAGTCCACTGGTCCCACTCACACAGAACTACCCTACGCCTTGACCTCTTTCTCCCCTCTCTCTCCAGATTACATCCTGTGACTAGTGAGGTCTGGCCGCCCGACAACCTGCCCGCTCGACCCCATCCCCTCCTCCCTTCTCCAGACCATCTCTGGAGACCTTCTCCCATTCCTCATCAACTCATCCCTGACCAATGGCAGCGTCCCCTCTGACTTCAAAATGGCCCGAGTTGCTCCCCTCCTCACGAAACCAACACTAGACCCCACAGACATAAAAAACTGCAGACCTGTATCCCTTCTTTCTTTTCTTTCCAAAACACTTGAGCGTGCTGTCTCTGATCAACTCTCTCTTAGAATTATCTTCTTGATCCTAACCAGTCAGGCTTCAAGACTGCTATTCTCTGTGTCAGGGAGGCTCTCTGCACTGCAAAAGCGGACTCTCTCTCCTCTGTTCTCATCCTCCTAGATCTATCCGCTGCCTTCGACACAGTGAACCATCAGATCCACTTCTCCACCCTTCTCAGGCTCTACACACTGGCCGCTCCTACCAGGTGACGTGGAGAGGATCTATGTCCGCACCACGTACTTTCACTACTGGTGTCCCCCAGGGCTTGGTTCTAGGCCCTCTCCTCTTCTCTCTATACACCAAGTCACTCAGCTCCGTCACTCCTATCATTACTCTGAGGATGACACTCAACTACTTTTGTCCTTCCCCCCTTCTGACACCCAGGTGACACCCAGGTGGCGACAGGCATCTGGCAGATATCTTAACTTGGATGTCGGCCCACCACCTCAAGCTCAACCACGACAAGACAGAACTGTTCTTCCTCTCGGGGAAACCCGAGCACTCCGTTCTGCCACCTCAGCCCAGTCCAAGCTCTTCTCTGTCCTGGCACCCCAATGGTGGAACTAACTTCCCCATGAAGCTAGGACAGCAGAGTCCCTGCCCATCTTCCAAAAACATCTGAAACCCTTCAAACAGTATCTTAAATAATCCTCCTCCTCACCTCAACCCCTCCCCTTCTAGCTCTGTCTCTACTGATAGCTGTGTTATTGAGGAAACATGTACTTTCTATGCCTGTGATATGTGGTTGTCCCACCTAACCATCTTAAGATGAATGCACTAACTGTAAGTCGCTCTGGATAAGAGTGTCTGATAAATGTGCAACCTGCCTAACACCCACTCCCGGACCATAAGGACACTTTGAGCCACACTGGGCGCAGTTACATCCAAGCGATGAAACTTAAAAGGTATTTGGGGAACCCCAACTTGCTGCAGCACAGATATCATCAATCGTCATTCCCTTGAACACTGCCCAAGAAGCCGCCACACCCCTAGACAACCCTTTTCCTTTGCCTCCACAACTCAACGAGAAATACGCTGGTTAGAAAGCACCCTACCTCGACCTGGATTAGCGAAACAGACAAAAATGCGGGACAGAAATGCAGATATCCTTGGTCTTATCCATATACCGGACACAGGCCATGCAACCGCTGTTCTCAGGAAGCAGAGGATGTGAGCAGCTAAAAAGGCTTTAGGACGTAACATGACTTCGCCAGGCGCAAACTCCAAACAGGAAGGCTGCACTGATAGAGCGTAGAGATCCCCAGTCTTTGTAGGAAAGGACCTTCAGGTCTACAGACTCCAATAGTTGAAACGGAGGCTCACACAGCCAGGTTCCATGTTTAGACACTGGTCTGAGCCGACACACGCCTTTCAGGAACCGCACCACCAGAGGAAGAGATCCCGGGGTAGAGACGTCAATCCCAGAGGAAGAGATCCCGGGGTAGAGACGTCAATCCCAGAGGAAGAGATCCCGGGGTAGAGACGTCAATCCCAGAGGAAGAGATCCCGGGGTAGAGACGTCAATCCCAGAGGAAGAGATCCCGGGGTAGAGACGTCAATCCCAGAGGAAGAGATCCCGGGGTAGAGACGTCAATCCCAGAGGAAGAGATCCCGGGGTAGAGACGTCAATCCTAGAGGAAGAGATCCCGGGGTAGAGATCCCTACATGACACGCCGCTGCCGTATAAACCTTCCATGTGGAAAAAGAAAAGCCCTGCTCAAAAAGACCCTGCAAGGTAGGCCTTGAAATACATCCACAGGTACACCTTCAATTGACTCAAATTGTCAATTAGCCTATCAGAAGCTTCGAAAGCCATGACATCAATTTCCGGAATTTTCCAAGCTGTTTAAAGGCACAGTCAACTTAGTGTATGTAAACTTCTGACCCACTGGAATTGTGATACAGTGAATTATAAGTGAAATAATCTGTCTGCAAACAATTGTTGGAAAAATTACTTTTGTCATGCACAAAGTAGATGTCCTAACCGACTTGCCAAAACTATACTTTGTTTACAAGAAATGTGTGGAGTGGTTGAAAAACGAGTTTTAATGACTCCAACCTAAGTGTATGTAAACTTCCGACTTCAGCTGTAGCTTTCAAATTCAACCTTTTCAGTGGGCAAACCCACAGATCCCATATCTGCAGCTGTGAGTGCCAAACTCTCCCGTGATAATAGATCCTGACGACACGGAACCCTCCACGGGTCCCTGCCCAACAGGCGGATGATCTCCGGGAACCAGGGTTGTCTTCCCAGCGGGGAGCCTCCAGAATCAACAACAGACCCTCCGGATGGACCCTCTCCACGGTGGCCTGAATCAGGACCACCAAAGGAAACGCATAAAGCAGGGTCCCACGGCCATTGATAAGCCAAAGCATTCGTTCCCAATGAAGCACCTAGATCCCTCATTGAGAAGAACAGACGATAATGCGCTCTTTCTCGCAATGTGTTAGATCTACGTAAAGATCTACGGCGGCCCTACCGAACCGATCCCATATCTGGGCAACCACTGAGGGGTTTGCCATCTCCACTCCGTAGAGATAGGACACCCCCTGGAAACTAGATCCAGGAAGATACGTCAACCTGAGTGACTGGAAATGTGCACTGCTCCATACAAGCAGATAACTTTTAGGAGAAAGAAAACTGTGTCCCCCCCCGACTGTTGATATACGCCACTGCCGTCCTGTTGTTGGACTTTACCAACACATGCTGGCCCTCCAACATTGGAAGGAAATGCCTCACCATTAGCAAAACAGTCAGACGCTCTAGGTAATTGATATGCAGCGCCCTTTGAGCTGTTGACCAAATCCCTCTTTCTGAATAGCTCACACACAGCGCTCCCCATCCCAGTACGGATGTCATGAACACCCTGTGGGACAGGGATACCTTCAGCAACGGCGAGATTTTTACATTTTAGTCATTTAGCAGACACTCTTATCCAGAGCGACTTACAGGAGCAATTAGGGTTAAGTGCCTTGCTTAAGGGCACATCGACAGATTTTTCACCCAGTTGGCTCGGGGATTAGAACCAGCGACCTTTCGGTTACTGGCACAACACTCTTACCCACTAAGCTACCTGCCGCCCGAGATGCATCCAGACGCTGAAACAGACGCGTCCACATTCCCAAAGGCGCCACAGCCACACTACATGACCAAAAGTATGTGGACACCTGCTCGTCGAACATCTCATTTCAAAATCATGGGCATTGATATGTGGAGTTGGTCCCCCCCTTTGCTGCTATAACAGCCTCCACTATTCTGGGAAGGCTTTCCACTAGATGTTGGAACAATGCTGCTGGGACTTGCTTCCATTCAGCTACAAGAGCATTAGTGAGGTCGGGCGCTGATGTTGGGCAATTAGGCCTGGCTCGCTGTCGGCGTTCCAATTAATCCCAAAGGTGTTCGATGGGGTTGAGGTCAAGGCTTTGTGCAGACCAGTCAAGTTCTTTCACACCGATCTCGACAAACCATTTCTGTATGGACCTCGCTTTGTGCACGGGGACATTGTCATGCTGAAACAGGAAAGGGCCTTCCCCAAACTGTTGCCACAAAGTTGGAAGCACAGAATCGTCTAGAATGTCATTGTATGCTGTAGCGGTAAGATTTCACTTCACTTAAACTAAGGTGCCCAGCCCGAACCATGAGAAACAGCCCCAGACCATTATATACAGTTGGCACTGTGCATTGGGGCAGGTAGCGTTCTCCTGCCATCCGCCAAACCCAGATTCGTCCATTTGACTGCCAGATGGTGAAGTGTGATTCACTACTCCAGAGAACTCGTTTCCACTGCTCCAGAGTCCAATGGAGGCGAGCTTTACAGAACTCCAGCCGACGCTTGGCATTGCGCATGGTGATCTTTGGCTTGTGTGCGGCTGCTTGGCCATGGAAACCTATTTCATGAAGCTCCCAACGAACAGTTCTTGTGCTGACGTTGCTTCCAGAGGCAGTTTGGAACTGGGTAGTGATTGTTGCAACCGAGGACAGATTATTTTTTACACGCTATGCGCTTCAGCACTCGCCGGTCCCGTTCTGTGAGCTTGTGTGGCCTACCACTTTGCGGCTGAGCCGTTGTTGCTCCTAGACGTTTCCACTTCACAATAACAGCTCTTATGCAACGTTCCATCGCTCTTGGGAATAAAGTAGTACGGGCTGTACCAACCGCCCTGTAGTTCTGACCCGGGGACCACCCGGACCCGGATAGCCTGCTTTAGAAGGAGAGAGGAAAGCTCCTTTCTCAGAAAAGGCGCTAGGACCTAGGGGACCATTGACGTAATGACGTCACAAAGAGGAGGAGGACGCACAGCGCTCGTGAGTATCTTTAATTTCATTTGTGAAACCACATGCCCTAGGGCAGGTCCTAGCCCCCCCCCCCCTTTAGGCGACCTGAAGAGCAAAGAATTGAGGAAACGAATGCGAGCCCCGGTATTATAGCCAGGAAGTCAGGACTTCCGAGGGCGGGCTCAGTATCCATTGGCCCATTGGGCGTGATTTCAGTTTTCATCAAGTGAATATGATTGGTCGTTGACTCCCCATAGTATGTTACCCACTGAAAGGGAACAGCTTAATTGTTTTTTTGTTTTTTTTACAGACCATCATACTGTTTGAATCAGCTTCTATCACCAGACCATCAGACTGTTGAACCGCTTCTATTACCATCAGACTGTTGAACAGCTTCTATTACCATCAGACTGGTTGACATCAGACGTGAACAGCTCATTAGCATCAGACTGTTGACAGCTTCTATACCATCAGACTTGAAGGCGTCTCATTACCATCAGCTGTTTGAACAGTTTATTACCATCAACGTTGAACAGTTTATACCATCGGGTCGTTGAACAGCTTGTATTACCATCCGACTGTTGAACAGCTTCTATTCAACCATCAAACTGTTGAACAGCTTCTATTACCATCAGACTGTTGAACAGCTTCTATTACCATCAGACTGTTGAACAGCTTCTATTACCATCAGACTGTTGAACAGCTTCTATTACCAGACCATCAGACTGTTGAACAGCTTCTATTACCATCAGACTGTTGAACAGCTTCTATTACCATCAGACTGTTGAACAGCTTCTTGGAGGAATGTGAATTGGATGAATGTGAATTGGATGAATGTGAATTGGATGAATGTGAATTGGATGAATGTGAATTGGATGAACGTGAATTGGATGAATGTGAATTGGATGAATGTGAATTGGATGTATGTGAATGAGATGAATGTGAATTGGTTGAATGTGAATTTGATAGGAGGAAAGTAAATGTTATAGCTCCCTAATTTGGCAAACACCTACATAAAGACATATTATGTCATCCTTTATGATATTTCTGATCTGTGAAGGTGTGGACAACCAGACAATAGTGTGTGTGTCCTGTAACCTTGACTACTAGAGGAGGACAGTGCATAACAGGGGTGTCGAACTCATTAATTGAGGGCCTAGTCTCTGCTGGGTTTTCCTTTCAATTAAGACCTAGACAACCAGGTGTAAAGCATGCCCACACATAGCCTAGTGTATACACTACTATAACCCACACATAGCCTAGTGTATACACTAATATAACCCACACATAGCCTAGTGTATACACTAATATAACCCACACATAGCCTAGTGTATACACTACTATAACCCACACATAGCCTAGTGTATCTACTAATATAACCCACACATAGCCTAGTGTATCTACTAATATAACCCACACATAGCCTAGTGTATACACTAATATAACCCACACATAGCCTAGTGTATACACTAATATAACCCACACATAGCCTAGTGTATACACTAATATCACCCACACATAGCCTAGTGTATACACTAATATAACCCACACATAGCCTAGTGTATACACTACTATAACCCACACATAGCCTAGTGTATACACTAATATAACCCACACATAGCCTAGTGTATACACTACTATAACCCACACATAGCCTAGTGTATACACTAATATAACCCACACATAGCCTAGTGTATACACTAATATCACCCACACATAGCCTAGTGTATACACTACTATAACCCACACATAGCCTAGTGTATACACTAATATAACCCACACATAGTCTAGTGTATATACTAATATCACCCACACATAGCCTAGTGTATACACTACTATAACCCACACATAGCCTAGTGTATACACTAATATAACCCACACATAGCCTAGTGTATATACTAATATAACCCACACATAGCCTAGTGTATACACTAATATCACCCACACATAGCCTAGTGTATACACTAATACAAACCACACGTAGTCTAGTGTATATACTAATATATAACCCAATGTTGAAACAACTGTTCTTGGAAAGGTAGAATCAATTCCAAGACCTCTTCTCACAAATCTTGAAAGTCAGGAGTTCTGATTCATTTAATGGTTAAGAAGGAACAAAAACACAGGAGAGAGGACTGGACTTGAATGCAACCGCTTTAACTAGTTGCCTTGAACGTAGCTCCCTAGCAACTCAACAAGCACCAGCTGCTACTAATTGCCAATCAGCCTCCAAGCCGGTTCGCAACACTTTAACTAGTTGCCTTGAACGCAGTTCCTCAACAAGCATCAGCTACAAATATTCCTCCGCATCTGTCGTCACTCTCCTTAATCCCAACTGCCACCCTACTTAAACCTGACCAAACGAACATTCGGCCTGTTTGTTCTGCAGTGCATGTCACTGGACACAGTGTGTTACTAGCCTCATCCAATTTTGCTGATCAAGTTCTCCACTCAGCAAGTGAACTACTCAGGACCGGGGTCATGTGTGTCGCTCTGTGCCTCTGCGATTCTTTCCATTCTATTAATAAAGACAGGAGCACTGCAGGGCTATCATCTGGACCCCCCCCCACACACCCACCCACCCACAGGATAAAGACAGGAGCACTGCAGGGCTATCATCTGGACCCCCCCCACACACCCACCCACCCACAGGCTCTTACGCACACATGTTAGTAACCTGTTTCAGAGCTCAGTTACTATAGACTGAATACAGTATATATGTCTGTGACTGACAGAGCTCAGTAACTATAGTTACTATAGTTTATATTCTGTCCTACTCTAGATCTCTCTGCTACAGATGACGCCCTCTTTTCTCCTCTCTCTCTCTCTCTCTCTCTCATACAGATGATCTCGCCCTCTATATTTTTCTTCTCTTCTCTCTCTCAGTCTCTCTCTCTCTCTCTATCTCTCTCCTCTCTCTTCTCTCTCTCTCTCGATCTCTGCTCTCTCTCCTCTCTCACTCTCTCTATGTCTCCGTCTCTCTATGTCTCTCTCTATCATTCTCTGTCTCTTGTCTCTCTCTCTCTCTCTACTATCTCTATCTCTCTCTCGTCTCTCTCTATAGCTCTCTCTCTCTCTTTGTCTGTCTGTCGGTTGTCTGTGCTCTCTCTCTCTTCTCTTCTCTCGGTCTCTCTGTGATCTACTCTCTAGTCTCTCTCTATCGACTTTCGATCTCCATATATCCTCTGATCTCGCTCGCATGAGACAGAGAGACTCTGTCTTTCTCTCCCACTTTCCCCTCACCCTTGCTCTATTCTTCTCCAACTCTCTCCTCCTCCCCCTTAGTGAGGATTAATGTGGTCTCATTTAAAGATAGATGCCATTAGTTTTTAGAAGTCAGCCGGGTAAAACAGCACCATCTGCTCTCACCGGATCTCTCCATTATATATTTCACTAATCACACCTGCGGCATAGGCACAAATTGTGGCTAGGCCTGAGTAAAAGTGACTTGGCCAACATTTTCCAGCAAATATACATGCAACAATACCCTGCCATATTTAAGTGAAAATGAGTGCAATCACATTGCATCATATAATCCCCTATATAGTGTACTTTGAGGTTCTGGACCGGTTCCGACCAATATTTCATATAATAACCAATATCATATAATTTGATTTTTACTATATTTATAAAGAATTTCAGTCATTTCAATCCATATTGCCCCACTTTTGTTGAATAGGAATACAATCGTATATGATTTCTCATCTTTTCAAAGTATGTGCACTATGTACTTGTATCCTCAAAAGTGAAAACCACCTCAGCAATTTAGAACTATTTTTAGCAGAAAGGCAGTGCCGACCCTTCATTCAGAGCAGGTGGGGCAGAGCCTGTTTTGTATGTTATTTTGGCATTAATACGTGTTACATATCAGTTTGCAAAGAATGTAAAAAATTAATCATCATTGATTTAATATAGACACATACAATGATGGTCTCTTTTTTGCTTTCTTGAGTAAGGCAACTCCAAAATGCAGGTGTTTCAGCCTAGCTCAGTGCTTTCTGTGGTGGAGGGGCAGCCAGCGGAAAATACGGAGCATAAGCGTTGGTAATGTTCTCTAGTTGCGCCGTGATTGGCTCAGTGTTCTGTCACTCATGGGGACACTATGTCACCGCAAAATCTACGGGGAGAGCTCGAAAGTTCAAGCCCCTTAGGTGCTGGCATAGAGTTACATTGGAAGTGCCCATCCAAGAAGGCTCACGGTCATTAGCCACAGATACATTACGTCAAATCACATTATATCTACAGTAGCTTTGATTGGACTGATCATGTCAAATCACATTATATCTACAGTAGCTTTGGTTGGACTGATCACGTCAACATCATACTATATCTACAGTAGCTTTGATTGGACTGATCATGTCAACATCACATTATATCTACAGTAGCTTTGGTTGGACTGATCATGTCAACATCATGCTATATCTACAGTAGCTTTGGTTGGACTGATCATGTCAACATCACATTATATCTACAGTAGCTTTGGTTGGACTGATCATGTCAACATCATGCTATATCTACAGTAGCTTTGATTGGACTGATCATGTCAACATCATGCTATATCTACAGTAGCTTTGATTGGACTGATCATGTCAACATCATGCTATATCTACAGTAGCTTTGATTGGACTGATCATGTCAACATCATGCTATATCTACAGTAGCTTTGATTGGACTGATCATGTCAACATCATGCTATATCTACAGTAGCTTTGATTGGACTGATCACGTCAACATCATGCTATATCTACAGTAGCTTTGATTGGACTGATCATGTCAACATCACATTATATCTACAGTAGCTTTGTTGACTGATCATGTCAACATCATGATATCTACCGTAGCTTTTGATTGGACTGATCATGTCAACATCATGCTATATCTCCAGTAGCTTTGATGGATGATCATGTCAACATCATGCTATATCTACAGTAGCTTTGATTGGACTGATCATGTAAACATCATGCTATATCTACAGTAACTTTGATGTGGACTGATCTGTCAACATCACATTATATCTACAGTAGCTTTTGATTGGACTGATCATGTCAACATCATGCTATATCTACAGTAGCTTTGATTGGACTGATCATGTCAACATCATGCTATATCTACAGTAGCTTTGATTTGGACTGATTCATGTCAACATCATGCTATATCTTACAGTAGCTTTGATTGGACTGATCATTGTCAACATCACATTATATCTACAGTAGCTTTGATTGGACTGATCATGTCAACATCATGCTATATATTACAGTAGCTTTGATTGGACCTGAATCATGTCAAATCATGCTATATCTACAGTAGCTTTGATTGGACTGATCATGTCAACATCATGCTATATCTACAGTAGCTTTGATTGGACTGATCATGTCAACATCACATTATATCTACAGTAGCTTTGATTGGACTGATCATGTCAACATCATGCTATATCTACAGTAGCTTTGATTGGACTGATCATGTCAACATCACATTATATCTACAGTAGCTTTGATTGGACTGATCATGTCAACATCATGCTTTCCAAATCTTAGCTAGCAAGCTAGCAGTCATCATGAATCAAGTCAATAATCTACTGGCAAATCCTTTTAAATCAAATTATAGAAACAATTTATCGGTGCTCATCGGCCATTGGACATAAACATTACACAACAAGTCGGAAATCACAAATTCAATAATGAGTGGTTTGGAAGGAATCAGTGTGCTAACTGCAAGCATTGCAAAGCAATCACTAGCCTGCTATTCAGTGGAGTGGGTGTGTGGTCCAAGTCTGGGTTTAAGGGTCTCTTTTCCAAGCTTAAAAGGATAAACATGCAACACCACGGACCAGAAAAGGGTGAATACATTGGCCTTGCTGTCAATCCAGCATGACTTCTGCCACGTTCAAAACAACTGGAAACTCGGAACTGGGAAATCTTAGACTTCAGTGAGTTCAAGACAACTGGGAACTCGGAAAAGAACGAGCTCCGACTGGGAAATTACGTTTTGAACGGTCATCCAACTCAAAATTCCAAGTCGGGAACTCGGGCCTCTTTCTAGAGCTCCGACCTGAAGATCACTGACGTCATGATTCAACCTTGTTTTTTTTCAGAGTTCCCAGTTGTCTTGAAAGTACCATCAATTCAGAGAATGCCAGAGTTTGATAACAAAGTTTGGTGATATAATTTGCCCATGAAAGACTGCCACGCCACATTCCTGTTCTAGTGAGCACAGCACAACAAGGTGGGTCCAAAAATGTCTTGTATGCTGCTGCATAAATTATGTAATATGCCAGGGATATACAATTGAAGTCGGACGTTTACATACACCTTAGCCAAACACATTTAAACTCAGTTTTTCACAATTCCTGACATTTAATCCTAGTAAAAATTCCCTCTCTTAAATCAGTTAGGATCACCACTTTATTTTAACAATGTGAAATGTCAGAATAAAAGTAGAGAAAATTATTTATTTAAGCTTTTATTTCTTTCATCACATTCCCAGTGGGTCAGAAGTTTACATACACTCAATTAGTATTTGGTAGCATTGCCTTTAAATTGTTTAACTTGGGTCAAACGTTTCGGGTAGCCTTCCACAAGCTTCCCACAATAAGTTGGGTGAATTTTGGCCCATTCCTTCTGACAGAGCTGGTGTAACTGAGTCAGGTTTGTAGGCCTCCTTGCTCGCACACGTTTTTTCAGTTCTGCCCACAAATTTTCTATAGGTTTGAGGTCAGGGCTTTGTGATGGCCACTCCAATACCTTGACTTTGTTGTCCTTAAGCCATTTTGCCACAACTTTGGAAGTATGCTTGGGGTCATTGTCTATTTGGAAGACCCATTTGCGAACAAGCTTTAACTTCCTGACTGATGTCTTGAGATATGCTTCAATATATCCACATAATTTTCCTTCCTCATGATGCCATCTATTTTGTGAAGTGCACCAGTCCCTCCTGCAGCAAAGCACCCCCACAGCATGATGCTGCCACCCCCGTGCTTCACGGTTGGGATGGTGTTCTTCGGCTTGCAAGTACCCTCTTTTTCCTCCAAACATAACGATGGTCATTATGGCCAAACAGTTCTATTTTTGTTTCATCAGACCAGAGGACATTTCTCCAAAAAGTACAATCTTTGTCCCCATGTGCAGTTGCAAACCGTAGTCTGGCTTTTTTATGGCGGTTTTGGAGCAGTGGCTTCTTCCTTTCTGAGCGGCCTTTCAGGTTATATCGATATAGGACTCGTTTTACTGTGGATATAGATACTTTTGTACCTGTTTCCTCCAGCATTTTCACAAGGTCCTTTGCTGTTGTTCTGGGATTGATTTGCACTTTTCGCACCAAAGTACGTTAATCTCTAGGAGACAGAACACGTCTCCTTCCTGAGCGGTATGACAGCTGCGTAGGTCCCATGGTGTTTATACTTGCGTACTATTGTTTGTACAGATGAACGTGGTACCTTCAGGCGTTTGGAAATTGCTCCCAAGGATGAACCAGACTTGTGGAGGTCTGCAATTTTCTTTCTGAGATCTTGGCTGATTTATTTTCATTTTCCCATGATGTCAAGCAAAGAGGCACTGAGTTTGAAGGTAGGCCTTGAAATACATCCACAGGTACACCTCCAATTGGCTTCTGAAGCCATGACATCATTTTCTGGAATTTTCCAAGCTGTTTAAAGGCACAGTCAACTTAGTGTATGTAAACTTCTGACCCACTGGAATTGTGATACAGTGAATTATAAGTGAAATAGTCTGTCTGTAAACAATTGTTGGAAAAAAGGACTTGTGTCATGCACAAAGTAGATGTCCTAACCGACTTGCCAAAACTATAGTTTGTTAACAAGAAATAAGTGCATGTAAACTTCCGACTTCAACTGTAGCTAACCTGACCTGAAGATCACTGATGTCGTGATTCAACCTTGTTGTTTTTCCTCAGTTCCCAGTTGTCTTGAAAGCAACATCCAGAGAATGACAGACTTTGATGACAAAGTTTGCCCACGATGGACCGACGTGCCACCTTCCTGTTCAAGTGAGCACAGCACAACAAGGTGAGTCCAAAAATGTACTATGCCAGGGAGATACGTATACTGTAGCTAAGAAAGTAATACTAAGTGTATGTTGTGTAGTAAGCTGTTAGTAGCCCATGTGCCTCACCCTAATAATTTGGTCCCTTTCCCCCTCAAAACTACTGCTCATTACCTGTATAAAAGACACCTGGGAGCCAGAAATCTTTCTGATTGAGAGGGGGTCAAATACTTATTTCCCTCATTAAAATGCAAATTAATTTATAACATTTTTGACATGCGTTTTTCTGGATTTTTGTTGTTGTTATTCTGTCTCCCACGGTTCAAATAAACCTACCATTAAAATTATAGACTGATCATGTCTTTGTCAGTGGGCAAACGTACAAAATCAGCAGGGGATCAAATACTTTTTTCCCTCACTGTAGGCCCTAACAGTTTGTGGGCACCGTTTCTCACCGTTATAGTGCAATGAATGTATTGTTTAGTGTTGTGTTGTGTCGTGGCTTTTCTGGCATGCATCCCCCCCCAAAAATGGGAGTTTGCCCCACCAAGATTTACATGCTAAAATCGCCACTGCAGAAAGGTGAGTTCCGGACCTTTCTAAAAAATATGTAGCATTACCAGTTATTGTTTACGGCCATCTAATGAAAAATAATGACTTTTGGGTATGTCTATTTAGGCGTAAATGTACATTTTGCCCTTAAATTCAAGAGGTCATTAATGCATAATACAGGTTAAATGTGACCAGGAAACACCAGGAATTGGCAAACAAGCCCGTTATTAGAGCTGTTGCCAAGTAGGCAGCGCAACTAAAAAAATGTCAACTGACTGTCAGAGTCCAACTGTAAACCAATATAAGAAGATACACAACATCGTAGGAGGTGCGTGGGTTTCATGTTTGGGGAAGCAGCTCAGCCACAACCAGAGGGACATTTTGAAGGAAGATTCGGGAAAGAATGGGCCTTTTACAAACCCATTTTATGCAATTCTATGACACTTTAATTGTCTGGAGACATTATGAGAATCTTTAATAATAGGCTATAGGACTACTACAAAGATTACAGGGTAGGCCCACTGCTGACTAACGGTGACAAACTGAGATCAATAATAAAGAGCTTGTCTTGAATGTAACTATGAAAAGGGGATGTACCATATGATATCTTCTGGACTGGCAACGTGGTTCTGCTGAGGGTTCCCTGTTCTGCTGAGGGTTCCCTGTTCTGCTGAGGGTTCCCTGTTCTGCTGAGGGTTTCCTGTTCTGCTGAGGGTTCCCTGTTCTGCTGAGGGTTCCCTGTTCTGCTGAGGGTTCCCTGTTCTGCTGAGGGTTCCCTGTTCTGCTGAGGGTTCCCTGTTCTGTTGAGGGTTCCCTGTTCTGCTGAGGGTTCCCTGTTCTGCTGAGGGTTCCCTGTTCTGCTGAGGGTTTCCTGTTCTGCTGAGGGTTTCCTGTTCTGCTGAGGGTTCCCTGTTCTGCTTGAGGGTTCCCGTTCTGCTGAGGGTTCCCTGTTCTGCTGAGGGTTCCCTGTTCTGCTGAGGGTTCCCTGTTCTGCTGAGGGTTCCCTGTTCTGTTGAGGGTTCCCTGTTATGCTGAGGGTTCCCTGTTCTGTTGAGGGTTCCCTGTTCTGCTGAGGGTTCCCTGTTCTGTTGAGGGTTCCCTGTTCTGCTGAGGGTTCCCTGGTTTTGTTGAGGGTTTCCCTGTTCTGCTGAGGGTTCCCTGTTTCTGCTGAGGTTCCCTGTTCTGCTGAGGGTTCCCTGTTCTGCTGAGGGTTCCCTGTTCTGCTGAGGGTTCCCTGTTTCTGTTGAGGGTTCCCTGTTCTGCTGAGGGTTCCCTGTTTCTGCTGAGGGTTCCCTGTTCTGCTGAGGGTTCCCTGTTTCTGTTGAGGGTTCCCCTGTTCTGCTGAGGGTTCCCCTGTTCTGCTGAGGGTTCCCTGTTCTGCTGAGGGTTCCCTGTGCTGCTGAGGGTCTCCCTGTTCCCTGTCTGTTGAGGGTTCCCTGTTCTGCTTTAGGTTCCCGTTTCTGTGAGGGGTTTCCCCGTTTTTGGGTGAGGGTTCCCTGTTCTGTGAGGGTTTCCCTGTTCTTTGAGGGTTCCCCCGTTCTGTGAGGGTTCCCTGTTCCCGTGAGGGTTCCCTGTTCTGTTTAGGTTCCCTGTTCTGCTGAGGGTTCCCTGTTCTGTTTAGGGTTCCCTGTTCTGTTGAGGGTTTCCCTGTTCGGGTGGGGTTCCCTGTGCTGCTGAGGGTTCCCTGTTTCTGCTGGGGTTCCCTGTTCTTTTTAGGGTTTTCCCCGTTCTGTTGAGGGTTCCCTGTTCTGTGAGGTTCCTGTTCTGCTGAGGTTTTCCCCGTTCTGTGAGGGTTCCCTGTTCTGCTGAGGGTTCCCTGTTGCTGCTGAGGGTTTCCCTGGTTCTGCTGAGGGTTCCCTGTTCTGTTGAGGTTCCCTGTTCTGTTGAGGGTTTCCCCGTTTTGGGCCCCGAGTGGTTCCCTGTGCTGCTGAGGGTTCCTGTCCCTGAGGGTTCCCTGTTCTGCTGAGGGTTCCCTGTTCTGCTGAGGGTTCCCTGTTCTGCTGAGGGTTCCCTGTTTCTGTTTGAGGGTTCCCTGTTCTGCTGAGGGTTCCCTGTGCTGGCTGAGGGTTTCCCTGTTCTGCTGAGGGTTCCCTGTTTCTGTTGATGGTTCCCTGTTCTGTTGAGGGTTCCCTGTTCTGTTGAGGGTTCCCTGTTCTGCTGAGGGTTCCCTGTTCTGCTGAGGGTTCCCTGTTCTGCTGAGGGTTCCCTGTTCTGCTGAGGGTTCCCTGTTCTGCTGAGGGTTCCCTGTTCTGCTGAGGGTTCACCCAATGATAAACTCACCGGGGTGCCAAGAGATTGGTCCTGGAGTAGCCTACTAATGGACAGGGTTGGGTAGGTTACTTTCTAAATGTAATCCATTACAGTTACTAGTTAACTGTACAAAATTGTAATCAGTAATGTACAGTGCATTCGGAAAGTATTCAGACCCCTTGACTTTTTCCACATTTTGTTACGTTACAGCCTTATTCTAAGATTGATTATATTTTTTTCCTCATCAATCTACACACAATACCCCATAATGACAATGCAAAAACAGTTTATTTTATATTTTTGTATTATTATTATTTTTCATTAAAAAACTGAAATATCACATTTACGTAAGTATTCAGACACTTTACTCAGTACTTTGTTGAAGCACCTTTGGCAGTGATTACAGCCTCGAGTCTTCTTGGGTATGAAGATACAAGCTTGGCACACCTGTATTCGGGGAGTTTCTCCCATTCTTCTCTGCAGATCCTCTCAAGCTCTGTCAGGTTGGATGGGGAGCGTCACTGCACAGCTATTTTCAGGTCTCTCCAGAGATGTTCGATCGGGTTCAACTTCAGGCTCTGGCTGGGCCACTCAAGAACATTCAGAGACTTGTCCCGAAGCCACTCCTGCGTTGTCTTGGCTGTGTGCTTAGGGTCGCTGTCCTGTTGGAAGGTGAACATTCACCCCAGTCTGAGGTCCTGAGCGCTCTGGAGCAGGTTTTCATCAAGGATCTCTCTGTACTTTGCTCCGTTCATCTTTCCCTCGACCCTGACTAGTCTCCCAGTCCATGATGCTGAAAAACATCCCCACAGCATGATGCTTCCACCACCATGCTTCACTGTAGGGATGGTGCCAGGTTTCCTCCAGACGTGACGCTTGGCATTCAGGCCAAAGAGTTCAATCTTGGTTTCATCAGAGCAGAGAATCTTGTTTCTCATGGTATGAGAGTCCTTTAGGTGCCTTTTGGCAAACTCCAAGCAGGCTGTCATGTGCCTTTTACTGAGGAGGGGCGACCGTCTGGCCACTCTACCATAAAGGCCTGATTGGTGGAGGGCTGCAGAGATGGTTGTCCTTCTGGAAGGTTTTCCCATCTCCACAGTGGAACTCTGGAGCTCTGTCATAGTGACCATCGGGTTCTTGGTCACCTCCCTGACCAAGGCCCTTCTCCCCCGATTGCTCAGTTTGGCTGAGCGGACAGTTCTAGGAAGAGTCTTGGTGGTTCCAAATTTCTTCCATTTATGAATGATGGAGGCCACTGTGTTCTTGGTGACCTTCAATGCTGAATGATTTTTCGGTACCCTTCCCCAGATCTGTGACTCGACACAATCCTGTCTTGGAGCTCTACGGACAATTTCTTCTACCTCATGGCTTGTTTTTTGCTCTGACATGCCCTGTCAACTGTGGGACCTTATATAGACAGGCGTGTGCCTTTCCAAATGTACAATCAATGTAATTTACCACAGGTGGACTCCCAAGTTGTACAAACATATCAAGGATGATCAATGGAAACAAGATGCACCTGAGCTCAATTTTGAGTCTCATAGCAAAGGGTCTGAATACTTATGCAATAAGGTATTTCCGTTTCTTTATTTTTAATACATTTGCAAACATTTCAAAAAACCTGTTTTCGCTTTGTCATTATGGGGTATTGTGTGTAGATTGATGAGGAAAAACATTTATTTAATCAATTTTAGAATAAGGCTGTAGTGTAACAAAATGTGGAAAAAGTCAAGGGGTCTGAATACTTTCTGAATCCACTGAAGGCTACTATAAGGCCATCACCATTAAGATGCAGAGAAACAGATAGATGCAGAGACAGATAGATGCAGAGACAGATAGATGCAGAGACAGATAGATGCAGAGACAGATAGATGCAGAGACAGATAGATGCAGAGACAGATAGATGCAGAGACAGATAGATGCAGAGACAGATAGATGCAGAGACAGATAGATGCAGAGACAGATAGATGCAGAGACAGGATAGATGCAAGACGGATAGATCAGAGATAGATGCAGAGACAGATAGATGCAGAGACAGATAGATGCAGAGACAGATAGATGCAGAGACAGATAGATGCAGAGACAGATAGATGCAGAGACAGATAGATGCAGAGACAGATAGATGCAGAGACGGATAGATGCAGAGACAGATAGATGCAGAGACAGATAGATGCAGAGACAGATAGATGCAGAGACAGATAGATGCAGAGACAGATAGATGCAGAGACAGATAGATGCAGAGACAGATAGATGCAGAGACAGATAGATGCAGAGATGCAGAGATGGATATAAGTGCTATGATAGATTCCTACAGAGAAAATGCTGATTGATACCGTCCCTATACATTATGTATAAACAAAACCTAAAGATGACCAGCAGCCTAGATTGAATACAACTATGAAGTTAACAGTAGACTATTACCTGCCTATGTAGACTACTGTAACTGACTTGGTCCATGATAAGCATGCTTTTTGACTGACCAGATACCATCTCTATTTTAACAGAAACAAGTAGGCTACTCCACTAACCTTTTGTACATTTCTCCTACTTTTAACAAAACTAAATATAGCAGCCGTTAAACCGTATAATCACAGACTCTCTTATCTCCCTCGCAACAGCTGGTCAGGAAAAGACACACGGCCTGAGAGGAGACTAGGGCTCAAGATGAGCTGCACACCACACACACACACACACACACACACACACACACACACACACACACACAGGAACGTGCACAGAGAGGGTTCAACCTGCCCTTTTACCCTCCTATGAAAATGTGTCCCCTCAGCTCGGTGGATTTTTAGAATTTTATGAATTCATTTTTTATGTTATTTTGATTATCTTTTCATTTTTCATTTAAAATAGAATGAATGGAATTAACTCTTAAAGACAACCTACCGCTAATGGACCAAGTATGACGCGTCTTCCCAAACTTTGTTTCCGTGGTCCTGAAACTTTCCCGGTCCTGTTTTCCGCTGCACCTGCAGAATCATGGCGACTGTTGCGAGAGTGTGTTCTGTTCTGTCTGTGTTGATGGGGTGCCTAGCTAGCTAGCGGCAGGTATCACCCCCGGGCTTAGAGTGTGGACAGAAGGCTAGACGGAGGCGCGAGACAGATGTGAGGGTGATATAACAACAACATGATTGCAATTAATTTGGCCAATTCCCCGGTTGGAGGAAGATACAAATCCTCTCACCATCCGGCCATCCCTCTGGAGAGAGAGAGAGAGAGAGAGAGAGAGAGAGAAAGTGAGAGCGAATGAGAGAGAGAGAGAGAGAGAGAGAGAGAGGAAGATGGAGAGAGATGGAGAGAGATTATATCGGGAGAGAGAGGTGGAGAGAGAGAGAGGGAGAAGAGAGAGGAGAGGAGATATAGAGAGAGAGAGAGAGAGAGAGAGAGCGAGAGTGAGAAAAGAGAAGAGATAGAGAGAGAGTATAGAGAGAGACAGAGAGGAAGAGAGAGAGAGAGAGAGAGGAGAGAGAGAGAGAGAATGAGAGAGGAGAGAGAGAGGAGAGACGTGAGATAGAGATACAGAGAGATAGGAGAGATGAGATATATAAGATAGAGACAGATACTCGACAGAGACAGATAGATAGAGAGAGAGGATGAGACTCTCTTCTCCCTCTCCCTCTCCCTCTCTCTTCTCTCTCTATCCTCTCCTTCTGCGTCCCTCTCTCTCTCTCTCTCTATCTCTCTCTCTCTGTCATCTCTCTCCTGCTCTCCCTCTCTCTCATCTCGTAGCTCTCTCGGTCTCTCTCGCTCTCTCTCTCCCGCTCTCGCTCTCTCTCTCTCTCCTCGCTCGTCCTCTCTCTCGACTCTCTCTCTCTCTTTCTCATTATCATCTACTCTTCTCTCCCTCCGCCTCTCCCCTCTCCTCTCCCTCTCTTCTCTCCTCTACATACTCTCCCAATCACTCTCTTCTCTCTCTTACTCTCGTCTCTCTCTACTCTACATTCATGCTCTCACTACAGCTCCATACTCAGTTACCTATCGTCTCTGACTATCAGTATAGACCTATTCATCTACACTATTCTTAGCTATATATGATTTCTGTTGATAAATATAGACTGTAATCTATAGAGCCCTACTATAGCTATACTAAATCCATATATAATACGCATATAAATGATAGCTGCATAGTAATCATATGTTGTGTAAAGATAGTGTGCTATATGTTACTGTGTGTATTTAAACCATAACCTACTCACTACTAATCATTTACATTAAAATGATGCTGCAATAGTATCACTATTGTTGTGTATGATGATGTCATCAAACATAGTGTTGTTTACCAACAAATAATAAGAGGAGGATGAAGAAGGGGAGGGGGAAGGAGGGCTGAGGATGAGGAGGGGCCTGCCCAGACCTGGGACACACAGCTGAAAGGTCAATGGAAGGGGAGGGGGAAGGAGGGCTGAGGATGAGGAGGGGCCTGCCATACCCTGGCACTTTTTTTTCCCCCCCCCCCCCCCTTTTTTTTTTCCTTTTTTTGGGTTTTTTTTGTTTGGCCATTAAAATCCAAGCCTAGTTTAAATTAAAAAAAAGAATTTTAGTTATTAATGAAAAATTATAAAAGTGAATATTTTTTTTGGAAATAAATCATCTATAAGAACTAATATTTTTTGAAAATAAGGGAATAAAACAAATAAATTATATAAAATTTTTTAAAAATTTAAAAAATAACTAAAAGAAGATGAAAAAAGAGTTTTGGGTTGGGAAAAAAAGGATAAAAGGGGGGGAAATTGTTTCTTGTTAAATTACAACCCTTTTTTCCCTCCTAATTTTCTTTTTAAAAAAAAGGCTGAATGTATTTGTTATGGTGATAAAAAAGGTTTTCCAAAAATTGGAAAGGGAAGGGGAATGAATGGGGGAGGGGCGGGAGAGGAGGGGGTCCAACAAATTCAAGGAGGGGGGGGAGGGGGGGGGAGGGGGGGGCCCACCGGCCCAACCAAAGTAAGGAAGGATGAGGAGGGGGGAGAGCTCTTGCCCAGACCTGGGACACAACACGCTGAAAGGTATGGAGGCACATGGAAAGGGGGAAACTTATTAAGTTTTCCTGCCCATACCTTGACACACATCTGAAAGTCCTTGTAAACAACCCTCAGCCCTTCTAACTATTAATCACCATCACTCAATTGGTAATATAATATATATGACATAAATAATACGTGTCACAACTTGTTTTACAATACTAGCAACCCCAATTAAACCCAGAACTACTTGATGTAAAAACAGCATCGTCATCAGTGACAATGTAAAAAAAGATGTGTTACCACCAATATGACACTAGATGTGTTACCACCAATATGACACTAGATGTGTCACCACCACCAATATGACACTAGATGTGTTACCACCAATATGACACTAGATGTGTTACCACCAATATGACACTAGATGTGTTACCACCACCAATATGACACTAGATGTGTTACCACCAATATGACACTAGATGTGTTACCACCAATATGACACTAGATGTGTCACCACCAATATGACACTAGATGTGTTACCACCAGCACAACGTCAGCTCCACCCCACCCAGTTCATGTCAGAATACTATAATAAAACTCAATTAATGACTAAAATGAATACAGTTCAAATCAAATTGTATTTGTCACATTCTTCGTAAACAACAGTTTACAATAGTGAAATGCTTACTTACAGGCCCTTCCCAACAAGCCAGAGAAAAAAAATTAATATATACAGTTAGTGAGTGCATACATTTTCATACTGGCCCCCCGTGGGAATCGAACCCACAACCCTGGCGTCGCAAACGCCATGCTCTACCAACTGAGCTACATGGGACTATGAGTCCCAGTACATAGTACTGAGTAAATATGCAGGGGTACGAGGTAATAACGTGGCTATGTTTTATTTTAATTTAACTAGGCAAGTCAGTTAAGAACAAATTCTTATTTACAATGACGGCCTACACCGGCCAAACCCGGACGACGCTGGGCCAATTGTGCGCCGCCCTATGGGACTCCCAATCACAGCCGGTTGTGATACCAGGGGTTCTGTAGTGACGCCACAAGCACTGAGATGCAGAGCCTTAGACCGCTGCGCCACTCGGGAGCCCAGGGAGTATCAGTAATGAGTCAATGTGCAGGGGTACGAGGTAATAACATGGCTATATACATGGAGTGTCAGTACTGAGTCAATGTGCAGGTGATAACATGGGTATATACAGTGTCGTGACGTGACTTGCATTAATTTGATTACTGTTATTTATCAAATAAATTAACTATGTTTAATTGTTACTTGATTAAATTAATCATGTAACAAACTCATTAGGAATTTGGGGCACCACGGGAAAAGTTGTTTAACGAGTTACCATCTTCCGAATTAAACTCTTGGAAGATATATACTTATACTGTATATCTCGATAACAGTCACATATCAGTCATTACCTCATCAGTCTCATTCTGAACGTCGCATACTCCTTGATATCTGCCAGAACCCTAACCTTGCTGCCATCTGCAGACTGGTAATGCTACGGTCTAGTGAGTTTCTTCTTCTTGTGTAGAGATTGAGAGTTTCAGAGTTTCTCATCATTTCAAATGTGTGGACTAACGTCTCACGTTTCCAGGTCTTAGAGTGTCAACCATATATGACGTTCAGCTCCCGCTGCACGTCGGCTGGTCTGTAGAGGTTCAACCATTTGTAGCCGTGTAGCCACAGCTCCACGCTTCCTGGTCTAACCATTTGTAGCCGTGTAGCCACAGCTCCACGCTTCCTGGTCTAACCATTTGTAGCCGTGTAGCCACAGCTCCACGCTTCCTGGTCGTTCTCGTTCAAAGTTCTGACCATTCTAAACGTGCAGTCGCCACTCACACGTTTTCTGGTCTAATGTTAATTTGTCTTTCATGCCTTTGTACTCAGGTAAAAAGGGGGCATTCCATCACGCCGACACAATGTCTGTGCTCACTTGGGCGTGGTTCCTGCTATTCAAAATATGGCTCCATTGAACCACGTAGCCTCCACAGTGTGGGTTTCACCAGCTGCTGGACCCAGAGACCAGACAGGGCTCAGCTTGCATCAGGTTGAAGAGTTCTAGAGTTTAGCAGCTGGTTGAAGAGTTCTAGAGTTTAGCAGCTGGTTGAAGAGTTCTAGAGTTTAGCAGCTGGTTGAAGAGTTCTAGAGTTTAGCGGCTGATGGAAGAGTTACTGACTGGGCAAAAGTTCTAATGAGAAAACAATTATCTCATTAGAAGGCTAAAATCACATTGCTATCTTAACCAGTATACACTCATATTTAATCATATATTTTATATTACATTTACATTTACATCATTTAGCAGACACTCTTATCCAGAGCGACTTACAAATTGGTGCATTCAACTTATGATAGCAAGTGGGACAACCACTTAGAATGATTACTTTATACTATTCCAGGTATTCCTTAAAGAGGTAGGGTTTCAAGTGTCTCCGGAAGGTGGTCAGTGACTCCGCTGTCCTGGTGTCGTGGGGGAGCTTGTTCCACCATTGGGGTGCCAGAGCAGCAAATAGCTTTGACTGGGCTGAGCGGGAACTGTGC